AAAGCTAATACACTATTCTTATAGGAATTAATGGATATCAACCTATATCGTAAAAAATTGTATAAAAAATTATAAAATTACGTCATTTTAATAAAATATTATGAAAAAAAAAACCTAATACAACTTCATTCATACTTTAAAAATTAGAGTATTTTAATTTTTTTAATAAAATTATATTAAAATAATGTAATTTTAAACTTTTTTTTCTTAATTTTTCTCAAAACAAACTAATACTCAATTTTCTAATTCTTATATATTATATTAGTGGAAATCCACTTTTGTGTAAGTTTAAGAAACTATTCAACTATATATACATTCATAAGTATATACACAAAGTTGGTAGTCTACAATTATAATTCTACAGAAGAATAAATCCATCAATGGACAATTAAGAACCACACACTTAATCACTTAATTAATCACAAATTACAAACTAAACAAAACCAATAATAAATTAGATCAACTTTGTATGTAATAAAACTCAATCCTTGAACCTAAAGGTACCAAGACCTTCACCTAGCTAAGACTTCGTCAGCACAAATGAACTAGTATTTAAACAATTAATTCTCTGAAATTAATCAAATTAACTTCACATTAGTTATATATTGAATATTTTAAAACTAAAACAAATAAACACTACATCACATATTATGATATTTTATACATATATATATATATGTGTATGTAAACAACTAAATACGAGCTAGCTATATACTTATGAATTAAGTTTGTGTGTTCTATCTCCATAGATATCATGTTTTCTATAAATTTTTCTAAGGTTTTGCACTTGTGTTTAATCGTTGGATATGTACTCATGTGCAATTATATTTTCTTATTACTCTACATAAAAAAAAAAAAAAAAGCATAAAAAATTAAGGATCATTAAGAATTGAAGTTAATTAATTAAAGAAACATGCATGGAACTTATCTATAGAATATAATTAATAGCTATAGGATCAAAAAAATTTAATAAACTTTTGCAAATAAGTCCTCCCACTAACTTTATTAACTGGCTAAATAAACAGGATTCCATTTATGTATATATTGTTAATTTTTGTAAGTGGAGAATAAATAACAGACAGATTAAACATTCAGATACTTCTAATTAATTAATTAAGACTTGGACCAACCCAGACGAGGATTTTGGATCGTCTTCTCCAAAATCTCCTAATAGCTAATGCCGGCCGGAGCTGCTGCATATTGTCTGTCCATAACTTCAATCAGCTTGTTGGCTATGGCGCTTGCATAAACGGAAGACCCTTCATATATCTGCACATACCCATGTTATTAACAAAAGAGGAAAACTAATTAGATAAAGAATAACTAGATTAAAAAAATACTAAAAAAAAAAAAAAAAAAAACCTTGGTGTTGAAGAGAAAGCTGCAGTGATCTCCAATCTGGCCGCCGGCAACATGGTGGAGATCCAGCTGAAGTTCGTCAAGGACCCTGGAAACAAACAGCAAGCAATTGATCTTCTTCCGTTGGACGAGCTTGATGGTAACTTCATCGTCGATGATGCGGACGTCCACCTCCGTGTCCTTGGATTTTCGCTGGAGCCAAGAGCTCCTCAGCGAAGTGTTGTATCCCTGATCTGGGTCACCGGCGCAATTGCTCTCCACGTCTCCGGCAGCATCTTCTCCCGTCTTCTGCCTCTTGCTCCTCTCCTTGCTTCGTCTCTTCTTCTCAACCAGTAATTTCAGCTCTTGAACTGTTCGGAGCAGCTCTTTTATGTAATTTATTGCATCACCGACGACAGATGCTCGATCAGTCTTTGTTTCCCCAATCACAACATTTTTTTTTCCCAGAAAGAGAAAATTGAAAAGGGTGATAATCATCGATCTCAACAAAAAAAAGCGACTGATAATTTGTACCTTGGTAGGGTTAGGAACCATACTCCTCAAGGCGGTGTACTTGTCGTTGAGTTGCAGTCTCCGTTCGCGTTCAGTGGCAAAGTGTTTGGTTTTACCGGCTTCCTTATCCTTGCCGAAGCCGGCCATGGCCATGTCTCGGGAGAACTCAAGAACCCCATTTTCCCCATCATTATACACGCCTGAACTTGGCTCTCTCTCGTCATCGAACAAGGAGCCAGATCCCCTCGACGTGGTCGGTAAGGTATAGCCATGGGGAAGGGATTGAAGCAGTTCCCTGAAAATCGGAGGCTGCGGTGGCAGGTT